GTTAAAGATTTCAAATTCATCCCCCGGGGGTTCGTGGTTCCCGCGCACGGCCCCCTGAGGGTTCCTGGCGCGAAAATCGCTAACTCGGGAACCAAGAAAGCTGGGAGGCTGAAATTTTCAGGAAATGTTCCCAACTCGTCTACAACTGCAATTTATCAAATTCAGCCCCCCGCCATGCGTGGTTGCCACGCACAGCCCCGTGAAAATTTCTGGCGGGAAAATGAATAACTCCAGAACTAGGAAAGCTGGGAGGCTGAAATTTTCAGGAAATGTTCCCAGCTCACCTACAGCTTGAATTTATCAAATTCAACCCCCCATTGTACGTGGTGGCTACGCACGGCCCCGTGAAATTTTTTGGCTGCAATTTGGGTAACTCGGGAAATAAGAAAGCTGGAAACCTGGGATTTCAAGGCAATGTTCCCTGTCCAATTATAGCGTGGATAATTAAGTTCCCGAAATTCGAGAAGCAGTATATACAAAAGGTTTTTAGCTAGCGGAATTTCGAGTAATCTTATTACAGCACGAAACAATGCAAAAACGCACGATCGAACCGGGCCCCCCAGTGCGCGTCGCCAATGATTTCTTTTACAGCCTACTGATAGCACTTGCACCTACCTCAGCCACAGGGGAAGAGAACAGTTGTTAATTACGCGTTTTTTGCAGCAATGCAATGCGAAAAACGCATATTGACGAGAGGTTGTCTGTGTGTGCGTCTGTCACGCACTTTCATCTCAGGACCGATAAGGCTACGGGGCTGAAATTTCGGGAACTTAATCTACATGCACGTGCCGGCCCCAGTCCCCAAAATGGGCCCCAAAACCCGCGTGGTACCCGCGTACGCGCCCTCCAAAGTTTTTTTGGAGTCAGTTCATAACTCGAGGATTTGAGAAGCTAGAACGCTGAAATCTTAGATTAATGTTCCCCGCCCAAGCGGGATTAGTGGGTTCAAACCCAGTCCCCGAATAAGCGTGGTACCCGCGTACGAGCCCGCCAAAGTTTTTTTCGGGAAAGTTCATAACTCGGGGATCTGAGAAGCTAGAAGGCTGAAATCTTGAACCCTGGAACACTACTGGAACACTACCCCGTCCAGGCGGGTATTAGTGGGCCCAAACCCAGCCCCCGGTTAAGCGTTGTACCCGCGTACGAGCCCGCCAAAATTTTTTTCGTGTAAATTGATAACTCAAGTACTTGAGAAGCTAAAGGAATGTAATTTTAAGAGGATATACCCTGTCCACTTAAGTTTCATTCAGCTCGAATCCAGCTCTCAGGTGTGCTTGGTAAACATGCACGGGCCCGTGAAAATTTTGTTCCAGTAAATTGCTAACTCAGGTGCCAGG